CGGCTAAAAAATTAGAGGGGAATGTGAGAAGGAAGAAGAAAAAGAGAATAGAAGTGGAGAGATTGTTATCAGATATAGAAGGTGATATCGAGTTTTGTGGAAGGGGAGAGAGAAGGAAGGGTTCTTTGTGAGATGGAACCGGGTTCGTAAGTGGCGTTTGAAAGGAGTCTTATTATGAAAATCATTAGTTGAAATGTGAGAAGGTTAGGGAGTGCAAGAAGGAGAAGGGCAATCAAAGACCTGCTGAGGAGAGAGAAGCCTGATATAGTCATGTTACAGGAAACTAAGTTGGTTGATTTGGACAGAAGATGGGTCAGGAGTGTGTGGAAATCAAGAGGAGTGTGTTGGACTTTAGCTCCCTCATGGGGAGCCTCGGGAGGGATAGCGACCTTGTGGAGAGAGGATGTTGCAGAATCTGTCAAAGAACTTATAGGGAGATTCTCTGTGTCTTTAAAATTCAGAAGTGTGGAAGATGGATTCATTTAGGTGTTAACTAATGTCTATGGGCCAAATAGTTATAGGGAAAGGAAGGAAATGTGGGAGGAGTTTTATGGAATTCAAGGCTTGTGGGATGGCCCATGGTATTTGGGGGGGGGGGGGGGAAGGAAAATACCCTTTCTAACACCTGTGGCCTGTGGGCTAAAGGAAATACCCTTTCTACAAGTTAACTTTACTTGGTCAAATTTCCAAGAAAACCCCCTTTGCTCCAAACTTGATAGATTCCTTTTTAATGTAGAGTGGGAGGATCATTGGAGGAATTTGGTGTCTAAAACCCTTCCTAGAGTTATATCTGATCACTGCCCTATACTATTTGGTCAAGATGTTCTAGTCTTTGGCCCTCGACCCTTTAGGTTTGAGAACATGTGGCTAACTCATCTGGATTTTGAACGAAAGGTTGGTGAGTGGTGAAATGAAGATTTGAGAGGGGTTAAGTGGAAAGGTGTAAGGTTCCACAAAAAGTTGAAGAGACTGAGAGCAAGGATTAAAGAGTGGAATCGGGAGCATTTTGGAAGGGTAGAGGATCAAAAGAGTATTTTGATGTCCAGGATCGATGAACTGGACTCCAAAGAATTCCAAGGAGTTTTGAATGAGCAAGAAAGGATTTTGAGAAGTAGATTAAAAAAGGAATTGGAAGAAGTTCTCCTTAGAGAAGAGATCTCATGGAGGCAAAAGTCAAGACACAAATGGATCAAAGAAGGGGACGGCAATACAGAATATTTCCATGCGTTGGCTAATGGGAGGAAAAGAAAAAATTGTGTGGCTAAATTAGAAGTGGATGGGGAGGAAGTCACAAATCAAGATGAGATAGCAAAAGTGTTGGTGGATCATTTTAAATCAATTGCAGGGAAGCCTTTGAATAATAGACTGAGGTTGGAAGGTCTAGATTGGCCCAGGTTGTCTAAAGAGCAAGCAAGCTGGTTAGAGAGGAGTTTTGAAGAAGAGGAAATTAGGAATGCAGTGTTTTCAATGGATAGATCCAAAGCCCCTGGACCAGATGGCTTCACCATGGCTTTCTATCAAGACTATTGGAATGTGGTAAGAGAAGATCTTTGTGTTGTGTTTAAGGAATTTGAAGTTAATAGCAAAGTAAGCCCTGGAGTTAATGCCACTTTCATAGCTCTAATCCCTAAGAAGAAAGGAGCAAAAAATCCTAAAGATTTTAGGCTGATTAGTTTGGTGACTAGCATTTACAAAATACTGGCTAAAGTGTTATCCTTGAGGATTAAAGTAGTGCTACCCTCCATCATTAGTCAAGCCCAGGGAACTTTCGTGCAAGGGAGACAAATAACAGATCAGATTCTAATAACGAATGAATGTGTGGAGGATATGAGAAAGTCTGGAAAGCAACGTTTTGATTGTAAGCTGGATTTAGAAAAGGCCTATGATCTTGTGGATTGGAACTTCTTATTAGAGGTCCTAGGGTATTGTAGGTTTGCAGTTAGATGGTGTCAATTCTTATCAGAGTATTCTTCATCTTTTCCTCAATTGTATCAGGTATGATGTCAATTCTAGTACTTCTGTTTTGTTTTGGGAAGACATATGGGTAGGCAATTCTGCCCTTAAGGACAGTTTCCCTTCTCTCTATTCCATTTCTGGATACAAGGGTAAAACAATCTCTCACTTTCTTCCAACATCTGATTCTCCATATTCTTTGAGTTGGGACTTTGGGTTTCGTAGGGGTTTGAGGGATCATGAACTCTCCTGTGTTTCAGACATTTTGTCACTACTTGAAAGTGTTTTTCTGGACCCTTCCAGTTCTAATGTTAGACTTTGGTCTCCAAACCCAGAAGGTTACTTCACATGTGCTTCCTTTTTTAAGTCCCTTTGCTCTCCGTTGAGAAAAGTGGGTTTCCCAGCTAAGGAGATTTGGTCTAAACCTGTACCTCCTAAAATTATTATGTTCTGCTGGGAGGTGTTCTATAGGAAAATCAACACTTCGGACTTATTGTAGAAGAGAAGGCCTTTTATGTGTTTGTCTCCTAATTGGTGTGTACTTTGCAGGGCTAATGGTGAGGATTGCTCTCACTAACTTTTAACCTTTTCTTTTTCTGTTGCTATTTGGGGTTCGATCTATGCTTTGTTTGGTTGCAGCTGGAATTTGGTCACAGCCATAGATCAGATCTTTGATCCTTCCTTCTTTGTGTGGCCCACAAAAATTGGTAAAACAATGTGGAGGAGCATTAGAGCTGCTGCTTTGTGGACAATTTGGGAAGAATGAAATGCGAGGATATTCCAAGAGGAGAGAAATGTTCAGAATGTAAAGGATTGCATTATGACCAGGGCAATCCATTAGCTGAGATCATTAGATTCCCTTAAATTATATTCCTTTGATGACATGTGGAGGAACTGGATGGCTGTGGCTAGTAGCAGTAACAGAAAGAACAGGGTACCAGATGTGTGGGTACCTCCTTCAGAGGACTGGACAAAGCTGAATTTTAATGGTAGCAGCCAAGGAAATCCGGGTCCATCAGGGATTGGTGGGGTGTTAAGAGATAAAGATAGTAATATTTTAGTTTTATTCTCAGGCTCCGTGGGTATAGGAGGCTCTATTAGAGCTGAGCTTCTAGTGGCAGTACAAGGCATTCAGATTGCAGACCAGTTAGGAGTTCAAAATTTGATTATTGAAGGAGATTCCAAAGTTGTTGTGGGTTGGTTAAAAAATCCAGATTCAGTGATTTGGTGCTACAGGGATATTATGAGGAAAGCTAAATGGTTCTCAAGGAACATGAATGTTAATTTTCAGTGGGTGGGTAGAACAGCTAACACCATAGCAGATGGGTTAGCTAAACAAGGGGTATCAAGGGAACGTTTATTCTTGGCAGCTTTGTAAATTTTTTGTTACTAGTCTGAGGTACATTGTTGTTGTTACTAGTCTGAATTTCATGAATAAAATTTCAATCATTTATCAAAAAAAAAAAAAAAAGTTACAACACAGCCCCAAAGATAGCCCAAAGGAAATCTCACTAACTACAACATAGTCCAGAACATAGGTTGTCTTTGAACTCCTTGCTTAGCTAAACCATCAGCCATGCTGTTAGCTGATCTCCTAATCCATCTTATTTGAATTACCATGTCTTTAGAAGCCTACTTGAAGCGCCTGAGCTCATTCCTTAGCCTCCATATTACTCCTTCCCCTTTCTTTAGTCAGTTAACAACAATTTTTGAATCCCCTAGAGAATCACCAAAATCGATTATTTGGAGTGATGCCAAAGCCAAACGGGGCCTAAAATTTCTATCTCCAAAGAATCAATTCTTAGAATGAGTTTTGAGCCCAACAAAAGAATTATTTCCAGCTAGTTTTATACTTTCAAACTCAAAAGTGATTCTTAGAATCTCCAAGTTCATCAGAATATTGTGCATGTCACAAAGATATTCTCTAGGCTTAAACTCGGCTTGGCAGGGGCAGGACCTACAAAAAATTGCAAATGGGTCTATAGGAGGAAAGATGGAGAGGAAACAGGACATCTGTCTCTGATCATAGGGGGACTTCGATGCAAGTGCAGTCTTTGGTTTCCCTTTTGGAGAAGGAACAGCAGGAAAACAAGTTAAGTACGGTGGGTCCGGAGTCTGATATGAACTGTTTACAGCAAAATAAGGTTGAAATTAATGGAAATTTAGGTGATGTGAATATCCAGAAAGTAGTGGAAAGAGAGGTTACCATTGGTAAAAGCCTGGGTCTGTGCTTTTGGGGTGGTGAAGAGTTCACCAAGAAGGGCTTTTGAGGAATTTGAAAGAAAAAAAAGGAAGAGAAGATGACAAAATCCTGTTGGAAAGAAGCAAAGTCATGGGATGAGGAGTTTTCAGACCAGGAAGGTACGTTCAAAGATGAAGACTGAAGGCTTGGTTGGGCAGCAAGGAGGGGCTTAGTTTAGGGTAGGAGGTTGGGTTAAGGGCCTTTGTATTTTTGGGTTTCTCATATTGGGGGATTTTGTTTTGATCTTCGCTTGGGATGGGTGGGTTTTCCTCATGTTTGTAATGTGTGAGGTTTGCAGGTCTGTTTGGGGGTCTGGAGGCTGTTCTTCTGGTGGTGTCTTATCACCTCTCTAATGTAATTTCTCTTTTTTTCTTTTAATAAACTTTTTTTTCTTTATTCTTCAAAAAAAGTTCATCAGAATTAATTCTCTGAGAGAATGCCAAACGATCTGATGGAAGATGTTGATTGGAAGATCCTAGCCATTTTTATATTTGTTACTTAGTGATCTATTAAGAAATTTGTGTCATCATTTAAACCAAGCAGTCCTCCCAAATAAATTTGACTTGCATAATATGATTTTGCTATCCAAACATGTTATCCTTTCTATTCATAAATATGAAAAATAATTGTTTTAGGAGAGGATGAGCTCATCTCATCTCTGTAAGAATGAATCAGCAACAATGACATGAACTGATCATCTAATCTGTGTAAGAATGTGTCATCTAGGAAATATGCCATCTTGTTAGTATTCAATGCTGAGGGATCAGTTTTTGTCATAGGCAACCACTAATGTGTTTATTTACAGATTGCCATTGCATTTACTTATAGACAAAATGGAAAGCTTGTCAGCTGCAAGTACCGAGGCGTTGATAAAGTATTTTGGCAGGTTTGTGTAATACATTCAACTAGTGGATAATAAAATAGTATTTCAGATTTTGTGGTGAAATCTAAGTTATTTCTTCTTTAGGTTGTTGAGAGGGTCTTCCAATTCAATAACTGAGTTTAAGGTTATTGTCTTTTCTTGATTTTGATAATTGCTGCATTTCTTAGCGAGTTACCCCTATTTAGAAAGAAAGGAAACTACATATATGGTGTTAGGGCCTGGTTGTGCTTGGGTTTGCCACCCTGAAATACATGCCAAGGACCAGGAATCTAGGTCACTGTGTCAGACACATTCAAATAATTTGTGCTTGTATAATTAGTGAATGGACAAATATTTACCATTGGCAAACTTCCATTGTTATTATTGTTCTCTAGCTTTATTATGAAAAAATGGTTTGTCTAATGTGGTCATGCATTGTTATATAGTTTTTTTTGATAGGAAACAGTAACATTCATTAGATAATTGAAAAGATTACAGTCTTACCACCCACAAAATGGATGGAAAAGAAAATCAAAAACTTACAAATAGGCCCAAAACAAAGCCTCCCTAGTAACTCCTTGCTTAGCTAAAGTGTCAGCCATTCCATTTGTTGACCTTCTTACCCAATTAAAATGCACCCCAATCTCCCTTGCTAAGCTAATAATCTCTCTTAGAGGCTGTCTAAGAGAACACACTCTCAGGTTTCCGGTTTGCATCCACCCTATTACCAGCTTGGAGTCTCCTTCCACTTCTAATTGCCGCATTCCCCATTGTTTCGCTAGTTTCAAACCTTGAAGTAAGGCCATTACTTCTGCCCTTGATGAATCTCCCACCCCAATTGAGCCCGAGTAAAGGGCCAAGACTTTTCCTTCCTTGTTTCTATACACACCCCCAACTCCCGACTGACCTGGATTACCTAAGGAGCTTCCATCAAAGTTTAGCTTCACCTTGAACTGAGGCGGTGGTACCCAACAATCTTGTACCACAGGGGAGGAGGGTGAGGATATAGCTATAGTACTCCAATTTCTTATTAAGTCCGCTGCGGAGAAATCCTTGAAAAGATTATGTACTTTTAGCCAGTGCATAACCTTGATGGTGACAACCTCCACAAGCGCTTCCTTGGATTTTTCTTGCCATAGGAAGATTCTATTGTTTCTCTCTTCCCAAATTGACCATAGGATGGCAACTCTTGTTATTCTCCACATTACCCTGCCCATTTTCCTTGGTTGTCGGAAGAAGCTAGAGTCAAAAAGGTTCAACACACCCAAGGGGGGGTTCCATCTGTAACCAAACAAAGAAGAGAACCAATCCCACAAATAATAAGCAAAAGGACAAGAAATCAAAAGATGAGTCGCCGTCTCACCATTTCTTAAGCAAAGGTAACAGACATGTGGGCAAAGGCTCCAGTCTGGCCTTTTTCTTTGAAGTACATCCATAGTGTTGATCTTTTGAGGAGCCACTTCCTAGCAAAAAGCCCTAACCTTTGGCGGCACAGGAGAATACCATTTTTCTTTAGCAGGAAAAGAGACGGACACAAAAGAAGACTGAATTAAGGCGTTGAAAAAAGATGAACAAGAGAAAGTCCCTGAAGAGGACTCTTTCCAAATTCTACCATATGGGCAGAAAAGATCTAGGAAAACTGAATTCAACACAGTGAATAACTCATCTGCAGAAGCCAATTCTGAATCCCTCAACCCTCTTCTCAAACCGAAATTCTAAGTCCCCTTAGACACACAAAGTGAGGAGATGGTTTTGAATTTACTTAGGGAAGGAGAATACATTACCGGGAATTTATCCTTGAGGGCGGTGTTCCCAAGCCAAAGGTCCTCCCAAAACAAAATTTTATTACCTGAGCACACATCAAATCTGATGAAAAGCTGAAAGGAAGACAAGATTCCCGCAATTGCTTTCCAAGGGGAGAAATGAGAAGCCCTAGGGTCGACGCCAGCATCCCATCCATTAGTTGCCATCCCATGAATACTTTCCACCACCAAGTGCCACTGCCACAAACTGTCCTGCTCCAAAGGAAATCTCTACAACCACTTTCCTAACAAAACTACATTTCTTAATCTGATATTGCCAATGCCTAGACCCCACTTCCTTTTTCCTAGAAACTAGAATTTTACATAGAAAGAAAAGAACTACAATCAATTAAAAGAAGATGAAAAAAGGATATGGGCAAATCATAGATCCTTTATTCAACTAAGAGGTGGGTTCTCTGTATCAGGAAGGAAAAGAAGAAAGAGGGAACAAAAAACTCAGCAGAAAGAAGGGGCTGGGCCCCTGTTTCAAGGAGGTAAGGAAGAAAGAAAAGAATAGCAGGAGAAGAGAAGGGTCAGATTCCTATTTCATTGAATAGAAAAAAAGTGAAAGAAAGAGAAGAAGAAGGTTGGACAAAGAAGAAAGAGAAGAAATGAAAGGAAGAAGAAAGTACTGATCAAAAACAGAAAGAAGAAAGAGATGAAAGAAATGCTACATATGGTAACTTAGAGAGAGAATGTAAAAAATGTAGACACTTTAACCTGTTATGATTTGTAGAACTTCTTGCGTTCTTCAACTTTTCAATAGAAGAATCCTCTCATGTTCTCAATGTGTTCAAATTGTCTTCGCTTTAGTTGATCACTTATGCTAGAGCTTTAGGCATGTACAAGGTTAGGGTACAAGCAAACAATAAGGATTTTTTAAGAGTAAGTAGGACATCAAAGTAGCGTTAACGCAATAATATTATAAAAGTGACTAAAAAAGTAAATGTATGAAATGCTCATGCTTGCCTCAGCCCAGGCCTTTTGAAGTAAGGTGCATGTATGCTGCTGTTGGCTTGTTGCCTGGGTTCAAGTGAGGTGCATGTATCAAAATGTGCCTATTTAAACACTACCCTAGATTCCTGGCCATTCTCTTTCCCTTGTCATCTTTTGATAGTGAAAGTAAAAATTTCATTAAAATAAAAAGTATTACATCTTCATCAGGTGTTAAGGCAACACCTGCATATGCACTAAAACAATGATACAACCCTCTTTCCCTTATCATGACTGCAACTCTTTGCCAAGCTTGGATCTGATTGGTCACTTGCCTGGTCTATCAAGGCTCAAGTTGGCCTCATTTATTGATGCCCACCTAAAGCAAAAGTCAACTTGTTCAAATAACTGCAAGTTGCAGCTATCTGGTTAGATAAAAAAATTGGGCAAGGCACCAATATCTGATACTTATCAAATTGGCTCAATCTCTATTACCATTTCTGGCTCGTACATACCCCTTGATTTATATGATATTTGTATATGCTGTTAGTAGATTTTCTTGATTTATTACTTGTTAGATAGAGACCTTCGTTTTTATGTGGTAACATATTCATGATTCTCTTGTAGTATTATGCCTTGTATTATCAGAGTATCAAATCTTTATATGTTCTGACTTGACCTCTGTCGGCAATTTCAGGAGAAGGATACAGAGAAGATATTATATGGGCTGGATGATATAAAACAAACAAGTGATATTATCATTGTAAACACTATCACTCTTTCTGTACTATCCTTATGAACTTGGTCAAAACATTATGTTTGTGACTTTTGGTTCTCTATCTCTCTGGCATAAATGATATCACTTATCATGAATTCTTACTATAGGTTGAGGGTGAAATTGATAAACTTTCAATGGAAGAAGCTGGCTTCCGTAATTGTGTCAGTGTTCCTGATGGTGCACCTGCAAAGGTTTCTACAAAAGAGTTGCCATCTATAGAGAAGGTCTGGTTCAATGTGAAGAGTTTAAAACATATTCCTTGTGTTTAATTTTACTTTTAACTGTAATGTTCTTTTACCATCTCTTTATTATTTTGAGCATGTATTGCCATGTGATAAATTTCATATGTTTTGATGATAATCTGATGCAATAGGGCAAAGTCCAACTAATTTCTTTGATTAATATTTATCAATTTGGAGGAAGTTCCTTAATGAGATGATAATCCTTAAATAAGAAGAAGAATTTCTTTTCTTGCATAAAAGGATTTGATGCTTATTCTTAATCTTCTTATGCTAGGCATAGTGTCTTGATTGAATTGGGAATCCCTGGTGTACCTGGGTGATCTTATGCTAGCATCTACTTTGAAAGAGTTTTAAAGCAAGCAAGTGACCTTTAGTTGGTTTCCTAGTTGGAGCATCAACTCTTGGTTAAATCCCATTCAGTGTTGATTGGTTCATGTAATGATATAATGACTAAATGTGTGGTTTTCTGACCAGATTCTGAGACTGTAGTGTGGAGGGATAAAATTGCAATCAACTTTGCTTGAAAGGTCTAAATAATAAAGTCTATTCAATTCATGTGGGGTCAAGTAATTTCTGTGGCACCTTGGCAAACTTCTTTTCCTAGGTTAGGGAGGTATTTGTCTTTGACAACATTGTTTTTTTGTGTGTGTGTGCTGCTGGTAAACATTCATCGTGAGTTAAGATGTGTTGGTGCACCGGACTGTGTGTTGGCCTTTTCTTGGTTATATTCCATCTTCTGAAGTTGTTGAACTAATTGTTCTTCCAGTTCCTCGGTGTCTCTAGGCCATACCTTGCCTAGGGAGGCTAATGCTTTGAGGCATTACCTAGTTTTTTTAGAAAAGATAACTTCATTGCAAAAAACGGGGGAAAGGGGGAGGATGTACAAGCCAAAGCAGTCTAAGAAAGCCAAAAAACCCCAGAATTTACACTATCAATGAGTTTTCACTATACAAAGAAACCCTAACGACCCCAGATTTGGCAAGATCATTATCAACACCCTTAAGTTCTCTAGGAATCCACCTAAATGGGCATTTTGCATAGGAGGTGATGTTCCTGATCTCATTAAGAAAGAAATCAAATCTCCAAGACCCATCCTTAGGGCTGGTCATCCAGTGATCACATTCCTTGAGTTCCCTTCAACCAAAAGTATGAAGAGGTGAGGAGCAGCAGCAGTCCTGAGCCTCACTAGAAGCACTGGGACTTCATCTTCAGCAGTATCAGCCTCACCAATCAGCCCACTAAATGTCCAGAGCAGATCACCATTAGGTCTAACAATCTGACCTCCATCGCCTACCTCATGTTGTGGTTTGCAGAGTTTCTGCAACTGCCATCAAACTGAAGAATAAAATTAGTAGGAGGCCTGGAACATGATCTGTTTCTGTTGATTGGAACAAGACATGAGGATTTCAGAACATGCATTATATTCCTATCCAAATCACCATACAGGATTCGTTATATGGTTTATGAGTAAGCATCCATTATAGTTGCTTGATTAAATTGGCTTATTTAGATTTTCCACGTTTGTGAGAGTGGTCAATGACAAAAAATGGCCTTGTTACTGATTGCTATGAGACATTTTTGTTAGTTTTGTTGCTGGTATGAAACTCCTTATTCTGTGAGGAGTTTTTTATAATTTGCACTGATTATGTTACTTATACTGTTCTTTTTTTTGGATAAATAACTTGTATTTGATCTTTGACATTTCCTCAGCGTTCTCTTTTCTTGATTGATTACTTTCCTTGGTTATTTTATTATTTTTGTTATTATTTCTTAGTTTGACCAACTTACCTTGATTTGGTTTTGCTTTGGTAGTCTAATGAATAGAAATTAGTCTAATTGTTCTTTCTTATGAATGGTATTATTAAACATTCTTGCATTTCTATGTTGAAAACTTGGATATAACTCTCTGGTGATTTTATTGTTTTGAAGCTAGGACACAAAGTATCAATATTTGTGGAATTGCAAAGAGTACTTGGACAAGGTGGGTCCTTCTAAGTGTATACTTTCTGGATGGTGCATGGGTTTCTTATATGCTCTGTGTTTTTTTATTCCTGTTAGGCATCTCGCATAATTCTTGCAACTGATGCTGATCCACCTGGCCAAGCTTTAGCTGAAGAGCTTGCCCGTCGCCTTGGAAGAGAAAGGTTACTTAATGTGACATTCATTTCATTTTTGTAGTAACATTTGTTCTTTAAACAAGTTTCTGTATGACACTATATTTAATGTTTTGATTCCGTGGGGTGGCAGATGTTGGCGAGTCAGATGGCCAAAAAAAGATGGGGGCAATGTTTGCAAGGATGCAAATGAGGTTTGATATTAATTTCTGCATAATCTTAATGGGGATTAATTTTAAGATCATCCATAACAGGGGTGATTTACTTTTGAGCCTCATCTGTAAAGGTGCTGGGCATTGCCCAAATGATGAATTTTCTCATATGAAAAATTTGTTTAGTTTATCTTGTTTCTTTAGCTTTTTATGGATATTTCTTGTTTCTCTACCCCAAACAAGCAATATTAAATAGTCTATGAAAAATAAAACTTAGAAGGTTAAGGCCTTATTTTGTTAGTGCAAGGAGATATAATGAGGATATCTTATGTCTCTTTAGTACAGGATAAATCAAAGAATGAAGAAAAAACATAGGGATGATGACCTTGATATGTTGAATTTGGCAAAGATACACAATAGACTGTCTGTGTACGTTAATTATAGAGAAAAAACAATAAAGGTAATTTGAGGATACTATGGATGTTTATTAGAGCTGCTATATGCTGAACAATTTGGGAAGAAAGGAATTTGAGATTTTTTTTCCTGAAAAAGAGAGAAGCAGAGAAGCTCTAATCGAAGTCATTTCCATCAGTGTTGCAGTGGATAAAATCTTTGGAGCTGTTTGATGGTATATCTACAGATGCATTTCTTGGAAATTGGAAGGAAGTGGCTGATTTAGCTCCGTTTAAGGCTGAATCAAGCTTCTTTGGTCCCCACTAGTGGAAGGCTTCATTAAGCTTAACTTTGATGGATTTAGCGAGTGTAATCCAGGTCATTCAGGCATTGGAGGTGTATTTAGAAATGAAGAAGGAAAAGTTGTTTCATGATTTTCTGGGCCAATAGGTACAGGTGGTTTACTCAGAGCAGAGATTATGGCTATTTTGGAAGGAGTGCAAAGGGCAAAAGAGCTAAATATTAGAATGCTAGTAGTTGGGGGTGCTGGTGATTAATTGGCTGTAACAAGAGGAAAATGGTTTCTGGAGTTATATTAACGAAAAAAAGAAAGATATAGATGGCTGACACAGAATATGGAAGTGAGGCTTAAATGGGTAAAGCAAAGTACCAACTCCTTTGTTGATGTACTGGCTAAACAAGGGGTGGGAAGGGGTACCATGTTTTGGGTTCTGTTGTAAGTTGGGTTTTTTGGTGGGGAGGGCTAAGAGAGCTTATTCCTCCCCTTGTCTTGTTTCTTGTTGTACCTTCTTTCCTTTTAATCATCTAATGAATTGGTTCAGTTATTGATAAAACAAAAAGAAACAATAAAGGGGGGTTGTTCCAGTTGGAAAGACAGGGAGCAATGATTAGAGAGAAAAGTATAAAAAAAAGAAGGGGGTAGAGCCCCTGATTTGCCATAGGAATAGATGATGCTCTATTTGGTTTATAGAAATTGAGAGAAAGTAGAAGAAAACGTATGATGAATACCATAATGAAGGCTACTAGTTAATAGCCTAGCACAATAAATGGATAATTTTCCTTATTTCGTTTTTTTTGAAGATAAATAAAAAGAAAATTCCTTAACTTAAAGAAGAGAGCAAGTACAATCAGAAGGGTGATGAGTGGTCACCCAAAAGAAACAACAGAAGACAACAAATTATGACAAAGATACAATACATCAATCCCCCGTCCTATTTTCATTGATGGCCAAATTCCATTCCCAATTGACTTTCTTGACACCCCTGAAAACTCTGGAAGAATCTGTTAGAGTCAAGTCGAGAGTTCAGGAGGAGAGAGAAAGGGACAACAGATTTGGTGGGTGTGACACCTCGTATCAGTCGACACCCTAAAAGATATATTTATATTAAAAGGTAAAAGGACAAATCTGCCCTTAATGTACAAAATAGAGTACAAAGAATAGTTATACAACAAAGAAGAGTAAAAGTACAATAATAGCTCCGTGGCTAGATTTTGCAGTCTCTACACTCCCCTTAAACTGATGCCTAGGAATAAGCATCATCTTGTCCATGAGAAATAGATGCCGAACCCGAGTCATTGCTTTAGTCTACAGGTTTGCTAGTTGGAGCCCGGAGGAGACATAAGGAAGAGATATGGTACCCTCAAGAAGGAGATCACGGATGAAGTGGCAATCAACTTCTATGTGTTTGGTGCACTCGTGGAAGATGGGGTTGGAATCAATTTTAATTGCATTGATATTGTCTGCACAGAGAGGGACAAACGATGATGGCTCATTAAGTATTTCAAATAGAAGAGCCCGAAGCCATATGATCTCACTACACATGGAAGACAGCCTTGTATTCAACTTCAGTGGAAGATTTGGACACAGTAGCTTGTTTCTTGCACTTCCATGAGATAAGAGAGTTGCCTAAGAAAACAAACTAGCCAGTAGTGGACCATCGGGTGTCAGGGCATCCAGCCCAATCAGACCCACATAGGCCATAAGATTAATGGAGGATGAGGAAGAGAAGAATATCCCGTGTGACAGGGTGCCTCGCACATATCTAATGATTCGATGAACTGCATTTGTGGTTGTCTTGGGGAAGACACGAACTGGCTTACTATCTAAATTGCATAAGATATATCTGGCCGAGTCATGGTGAGATAAATTAAACTGCCCACTAGCTGATGATAAAGGGTAGGATCTTCAAGAGGAGAACCATCGTCTTTGTTGAGTTTCAGGTTCAGTTCTAGTGGGGTGTCCACAATCTTAGAGTCACCAAGATTTTGCCAGTTTAACAAGATCAGCGACATACTTTTGTTGATTAACAAAGTAGCCCTGAGAGTTTCTGCTCACTTCAAGTCCTAAGAAGTATGTCAAAGGCCCCAAGTCCTTCATCTTAAAGGACTCACTGAGTAACTGTTGTAGCCTAGCAATTCCTTCTGTGTCATCCCCTGTAATTAATATATCATCAACATAAATGAGTAATATCATTACTCCATGCTTTCGCCTTAAAATGAATAAGGAATAGCTGGAAGAACTCTAGATAAAGCCATCATCAGTGATGACGGGTCTGATCTTCTCAAACCAGTCCTTAGGAGTTTGCTTCAGGCCATAAAGTGACTTATTAAGACGAAAAACAAGCAACGGGTTTGTACAATATCCCGGAGGGGGTTTCATATAGACTATCTCTTTCAACTCCCCATGGAGAAAAGAATTCTTGACATCCATTTGATGGATTGTCCACTGTTTGGCTGCAAATGCAGCCATTAGAAGTCGTACAATGGTCATTTTAGCTACAAGAGCAAATGTCTCCTCATAGTCTATCCCATATTCCTATTTGTAGTCCTGTGCAACAAGCCTAGCTTTGTATCCGTCTAGGCTTCCATCAGATTTTAGCTTCATAGAATAGGTCCATCGACTTCCTATGAGAGATGTCTCAGGTAGAGCTTTGACTAGGTCCTAGGTGTCATTCTCAAGAAGGACTCGAATCTCAGAATCCAACAGCCTGTTGGTAAGATCTAGGAATGTCTGTGGTAGATAAAACAATGGAAAAGGAGCTATGGTCTGGTGAAAAACCATAACGGTTAGGTGGACAAGAAATTCTAGAGGAACGACGTAAAGAGGGAGCAGTGGGTTCAAGAGGAAGGTCAGGTACACTTATTGAGGCAGCTGGAGTGACCGGATCAACAACTAGAGGCGGAGCATGGGGGATGGAGATTGAAGAAGGTCGTTGCTTCCTAAAGTAGGTTTGAAGTTGTTGCAAAGGTGACAATGGAATTTTTGAGGTACCTGTAGAATCAAAATTGTGCAACAAGTAAATAGAAGGAGTTGGGAATTTTACAATATGTTCAAAAAAGGACACTTTCAAGAAAAACTACATTATGAGAGTTTCTAAGACGATGAACCAAAGGATCATAGTAAATGAACCCATTATGTTCAGAACTGTACCCCATAAAGGCACACAAAGCTGCTTGTGTAGTTAACTGTGCATTCATGAGGTAGAGGGAGGACAAAACAAGCACAACCAAAAACCCTAAGCATGGATAGGTTTGGGGGTTTGTGAAAGAGAGATTGAAAAGGAGAAGTGTTATTCAAAACATAAGGCGGAGGGCGATTTATGAGATATAGCAGTGCTGGCCACCTCCACCCAAAACCAAGAGGGTACAATGGGTAGTAACATAGGTGTGAAAGTGTTTAAATACAGTGGGCAGTGCTGGCCACCTCCACATTAATATACTTTCCCCCTGAATCCGATTGTAGCATACAGATTCGAGCATCAAATTGGGTAGTAACATAGGTGTGAAAGTGTTTAAATACAATGTACACTTCAGATTTCTTTCGAAGAAAATAAGCCCAAGTGAAACAAGTGCAGTCATCAATAAAGGTTACACAGTACTTATATCCCAGCCGTGAGACAACTAGAGACGACCAGGCGTCACTATGTGTTAAATAAAAAGGAATTGTTGCATGCTCAAAATGAGAAGAAAAGGGTAAAATATGACTCTTACACAAACCACAAGTGATGCAAGCATTATTCACATTCTTAAAAGAAACAGTAGAAACAAGACTAGAAGTAGTAGTAGTACAAACTACTAGAAGCAAATAGCTGATCAAGTTTCTTAGAAAACGGATGGCCAAGGCGTTTATGCCACAAATGCCAATCATTATTACAATTAAAAGATCCAGAACTAGAAGTAGTAGAAAGCAAACATGAAGTAGAAGCAGGAGCAGTCTTATTCTTCTCAAATTCCAAAGCAAATAGTCTTCCTATTCTACGCCCCTTCCCCTTCACCTCCCCAGTTTGCCGGTCCTGTTTCAAACAACCACCAGAAGTGAATGAGACATTGTTACCTTCCTTTACAAGCTGGCCAACATAAATCAAATTGGTGGTAAGCCTAGGTACAAATAAATTTTTGGATAAATGAAATGGGGATGATTTAGAAGTAGATAAATACAAATCATCACAACCATGTATGTCAAGTTTTTCACCGTTTGCAATGATAATATGTCTATTGGGAAGATGGGGTTTGGGATACTGACCGAGAGTGGCCCCTGTCATATGGTTAGAGGTTCTTGAGTCAATATACCAGAGATGGTTCGGTGAAGGGCAATAGGTCGGAGACTTAACAAACATACCAATAGCAGAGAGTGTTGAAGAGATGACCGAGGACATGAGCTGTCGAATTCCTTCTTCAGACATGCTGCAGGGGGTGTCGGTTTGACCAGCAATAGAAGTAATAGAGGAGGCATCTGAACTGTCTACAACAATCTCATTGGCCTTGTAGTTTCCTTTCTTCTGATTTGATCCACTACCTTTCTGAGGCCGGGTAGGACATTCAGTGATAATGTGGCTAACCTGCTTACAATAGGTGCATGTGTTCTTACAATGGGAAATAACGTGCCCATACTCCTTACTTTCATAACACTGTGTCTTAGAGAAATCTTTCTTCCCTTCTGGTTTGGTTGCCAGGAAGACAATATCAATGTTAGAATCTTTCCTTCCATCTAGTGCAGTCTGTGTAGTCAATTTGGTTTTCGCTCTCAAGATATCTCCCAGGATAGTATCTAAGTGAGGTAGTGTTCCTCGGCATAGGATATTAGATCGAAAAACTTCAAACTCAGGCCTTAGATGCATTAGGAAATTCATAATTTTCCTCCTGTCAAAGTGTTTCTTCATGTACTTCATGCAACCATCTGAAGGATCTTTTTCCATGTGAACTAACTCATATTATGTCCAAAGGTTGATGAATCCGACATAATATTCTTGGACTTTTCTGTCTCCCTGATAGTACGAAAAGATGTCAACCTCTATCTGATATTGTCTAGAGTTGTTCGATTGCTGATAAACTTTCTCGAGATATTGATACATCTCATAGGCTGTCCTGTACCCTCATAGGGATAGCAATATCAGTTTCGACTGAGCCTAGAATCCATGACGCAAGTTTTACGTTGTCGATCTTCCACTGATTAAGTCCTTTAATGTTAGTCATCAGGTTTAGATACAAATCCATCTAGATATCCCCAAAGACCCTTAGCTTCGACATGGAACTGAAAGTTGAACTTCTATAATGCGTAGTTCGTACCGTTGAACTTAATAGGAAGAACCTCCATCCTTTCTGATGCCATTGGAAGACAAAAGGCAACAACACACACTTCCATAAATCAAAAAGATTTGAACCAGAGAAAGAAAAGGAGAATACCTTTCAGTTGATGTCCAAAAAAGGCAACTGTATAGTTCTGCCGAACTGAAGAGTGGATCAAAACCCCTCAAAAACAAAACGGATACAAACCAAACCAAAGGGATTCAGTAGATCTGCTCTGGGCAACACCAGATCTAAAATTTCAGGCTGATCCGATGTCTCTTCAAGGAGATCTAAGAAGAAAGGTGAATCCGATGGCATAGCAGTCCAGGAAATAAATCTGTAAAGTTCAGATCTGTAGCCAATCTATGAAGAAGATTAAAAAGGCACTCAAGAACTTCTCATATACTGATATGAAGTTCTTGAACCAGTAGTAGTCGAGATGTTCAACGAGATATTATGTGAAGATAGGTCGTGACCTGTTCTGATATCATGTCAGAGTCAAGTCGAGAGTTCAGGAAGAGAGAAAGAGAACAGATTTGGTGGGTGTGACACTTTGTGTCAGTTGACACCCTAAAAGATATATTTATATTAAATGGTAATAGGACAAATCTGCCCTTAATGTACAAAATAAAGAGAGTACAAAGAATAGTTATACAACAAAGAAGAGTAAAAGTACAAAAATAGCCCTGTGACTAGGTTTCACAGTGTCTACAGAATCAGTATCCAGTCTAAAATTCTTCTCCTAATGACTAGTTGCTCCATAGATCTTGCCTTATCCTTGAATATTCTTCTATTCCTTTCCTTCCAAATCTCCCAACAGGCCACAAAAGGAACATAGGGCCATGCAAACTTAGCTTTCTTACTCCTGATCAAAACTGGCCAGCATGCAAAAATCTCTGATGGGCTTCTAGGATTCCAACTGACTGCACCGAACGATATGAAGCTCCAAATGCAATTTGAAGAGCCACATAGCACCAATAGATGAATCATATCTTCCTCAGCATTTACAGACAAATAGTACCTGTTAATAAGCTGCATTCGTCTTCTTTTCAAATGCTTCTTAGTTAAAATACCATCCAATGCTACCAGCTGCAGAAATGCTTCCACCCTTGGAGGAACTCAATTCCCCCAAATACCTTTGAGATTAGCTCTTCCCACTTGATTCCTAACCAAATGATAATAGGATTTCACCGTGAAGAATCTATTTCTGCTTTCCTTCCACCACCTTGAATCTTCTCTATCCATCTGCAGCTTCACTACTTTTGAGTAATAGCTAATTATGCTCCTGAATTTCAAAACACAAACTGACTCATACATTGGACACAGATAGAAGATCATAAGATGTGCATCTCTGTTGCAAAATTGACTACAGATGGCAGTTAGGAAATTGATCTATAGATCTGTAGATCTGTACCTTTCCTATTTACTCCCTTTGGCTACCTGCTAAATAATGCCTAAATGGAGTTTGGGGATCTCCAATGGAATTCAAAAATCTCCATGAAACATGCTGAGTTTGAAATGAAGATATATATTCTTTATTTACTGTTGGCATATTAAGACTGGTTGGGAAGAAAACTCCAGACTGATTAGTTGTGTTTTAATGAACTAAAGCATGGATTTCTTGGCTTGATACGGAAATTGTTATTTTTGTTCCAATAATCAATAGCTCAATCAACTGTACCAATGTTCAAATTTATGCTCACAGGTTTTGTCATATTATGGGCCAGATGCATTGAAGGAAGTAATTGAGAATGCTGAATTGTATCCCATACGTGGTTTGTTCAACTTCAAAGATTACTTTGATGAGATTGATTCGTATTACCATTGCAGTTTTGGATATGAGCTTGGTGTATCAACTGGATGGAGGGCTCTGAATAATTTGTACAACGTATGCATTATTCCTTCTATTATCCTTTTGATCTCATTATTCTTTTTAAGTTGGTGTGCTATCATGTCCATTGTTCACATTTCTTTTTGTTTTTATCTTCACTATTTTAGTGGCATGTGCTCATGGAGAAGAGAGAGAGAGAGAGAGATGAATAGAGTGGATTTAGTGGAGAGAGGAACGTAAATGGAGAGGAGGGGGGGGATAAATGTACTGTTCTCATTGTTGACTGGACAGGAAACCAAGTCAAGTATTGGCATTACATAATAATGTTGATTAATTATTGATGACATGTTTCTTAAAAGGGGAAAATATTGGGATCAACTCCTTTTTCAAGACATGTTCATATTATTAAATGGACTTTTATTTTTGATGATCCTTGAACTTTGCAAAAAGGCCACTTTTGACCTTAAAGTGCCATTTTTGCCCTCAAACTATGGTGAAAAGGCCATTTTAAGACAAAAAAGATGGTGTTAGAGACGCCGTTGATGATTCCATTACACAAATAATAACATAATAATGCCTATTGATGTGGCACTGTTCATGTTAAAAAATTATATGAAAAATTACATATTAGTCCCACATAAAATTTCCATCGTTCACATTGCTTCACGAAAGAGCTTTTGAAAGCGTTGGCACCAAGAATAAAAATAAAAAAAATTATTTGTATTTAATAATTAATTATTAATAAAATAATGAATTATGAATAAAACAAAAAAAATCTAACTCTTTCAACTTAATTAATTTAAGAAAAAAATAGGTGGGTCTCACTTAAAGTTCCCACCTATTCACATCTAACCAAGAATAAAAACAAAGTAACTATTTTTATTTAAAATTTTAATTAATAACATAAAGAATTATTAATAAAACCAAAAACAATTTGGCTCTTTCAACTAAACTAATTTCAAGGGGAAAAACAAGTGGGTCCCAATTAAAATTCCCTCCTATTCACATTTGACCAAGAATAAAAACAAAATAATTATTTTTATTTAAAAATTAACTAATAATAAATTATTAATAAAAATATTTTTTGATTAATGAATTACTAAAATAATAAATTATTAATAAAAGTGATAATATTTAATTATTAATAAATAATTAAGAATGAATTAACTTATCAAAAAATTAATTAAGAATAAATTATTATTTTATTAATACTGTTTTGGCAATTTTGTGCTATGTTTGGCAATTTTTTTGCAATTCTTTATTATTTTATAAATAATTAATTACTGCTTTTATTAATAATTTATTGAAATATAAATATTTTTATTAATATTTTATTATTAATTAATTATTAAGTAAAACTAACTATTTTGTTGTTAATGTGGGTCAGATGTGAATAGGTGGGAATTTTTAGTGGGACACATTTGTTTTTTCCCCTTGAAATTACTTAAATCGAAAGAGCAAGATTATTTTTTGTTTTATTAATAATTATTTGTTAAACAAAAATAATTTAGTATTACTTTTTTTTTTTAAATAAAAATTATTTTGTTTTTATTCTTGATCATATGTGAATAGGTGGGAATTTTAAGTGGGACCTACCTTTTTCTTTTCTTGTTATTACATAATTTGAAAGAGTTATATTATTTTTTTTGTTTTATTCATAATTCATTATTTTATTAGTAATTAATTATTAAATAAAAATAATTATTTTTGTTTTTATTCTTGGTCACATGTGAACGGTGGTAGTTTTATGTGGGACTCATTTTGATTTTTCAAATAGTTTTTTAACGTAAACGTGCCACATCTATGGGCATTATTATGTTATTATTTGTGTAGTGGAATCATCAAGGGTGTCTTTAACGCCATCTGTTTTTGTCTTAAAATGGCCTTTTTGCAAAATTCAAGGATCGATGAGCCAAAAATCCATTATTAAACCAGTGGTAAAGTCTTTAACTGTGCAAATCCTAGGTGTGGGATTGAAAGAAAAATGGTGTGGGAGAGAAAAGTGACGAGTCAAAAAATTGGGCTCGTGGTGCCAGCTCTAATATTTATATTAAAGGGTTGAAGTGCAAAAAATTGTAAAAAGACTAAAGTGTCCTTGGAAAATAAACTGAGAAGTAAGAATTACATCACTCCTCCTTAAATTGGGGCGTAGATGTCTATCATTCTCTACTTGTGACAAACCTTGTTATGTTGCATGTGGTGGAGACCCTTGGTGAGAATGTTAGCAAGTTGCTCTTTAGAGTTGACATAAGAGTGCATGAACCTCCCTTTTTCTAATTTCTCCTTAATGAAGTGTTTGTCAACCTCAATGTACTTTGTCATGCAGAATAAGATTAACTGCAATGTTGATGGCAGCTTTGTTATCAGAATAGTAACATAGGACTATCAACTACAAACCCCAGTTCAGCTAACGGATTATTAATCCAAAGAACCTTTGCAACTCCATGGGGTTAGAGAAGTGATTGGAGAGGTGGATTAAAAAGAAGAGGATTCTAGTGATTAGAGAATGTAAGAAGTCGGTGGTGTTCTTGGCAGTAGAAGCAGTTGCTTGTTTTTTGAACTACTGTTTGGAAAGAGTCGTTGGAAGTGGAGTCTTGGAAGTATGTTGCAGAAAGGGGAGTGAATAGAAATGGAATCTTTACTGCTTTCCTTGAACACTTTGGAGGTGGAAGAAAACAACTAACATACTTTCTAGGAGTAAGTAGTGAATGGTGGAGGAAGGTAGGAAGTATCCTTTCAAAGATTTTTTTTTTTTTTTTTGGAAAGGGTAAGTAATATTTATTGAGACAAGTGATACACAAGGGAGGCTGAGATCAGTCCCCAGAAAGGTCGACTGATCTAATCAGCAGTTACACATTCCACCAAGAACTAGAAAGAAAAACAGCAGGCACATTACAATTTCTGAAATCCTCAGACACAGACACCCAAGAAATCAATTTTCCCACTGCTTTCTGAATTAGCTATTCCAGATTTAAAGCCTTGTTACAGAATATCCTTCTATTCCTCTCAGACCAGATGGACCATAACACAGCATTAGGAATAGTCTTCCAAACAATCTTCTTTTTCTTTTTCAACCCCATGAGCTTCCAGCAACACAACAGCTCCTTAACCGAACTTGGCATGACCCGACTTAAGTTCATAGAGCTGAAGAAATGATTCCACAGCTGAGAAGAAAACGGGCAGTGAATGCACAAATGATCAGTGGATTCAGCACTACTCCCACACAAGCTGCATGACAGGTCCAAAAATTGAATGCCCCTTCTCACAAGGTTAGCTCTAGTAAGGCATTTATTTAGAGCCATAGTCCAAACTAGGAAGTTAGATTTGGTGGGGCTGGTGGGATTCCACACCTGATGACAAGGGAAATCAGAAACACCCCTTCTACAGAGGTTAGAAGCTAGAGAGACTTGACAGAGAACACACCATCTGAGTTCCACTGCCACTGCCACTTATCCTCTGAGCTAAGATCCAACTCTTGATTCTGAAGACAGGTCAACAGAACCGACCAAACCGACCGGTATACATATATTTATATATATTTTATGTATATTTATATATTATATATATTATATATTTTCTATGCAGTATAAATTAATAAATATGCATTATATATAAATATATATATTTATAATATATAATATACTATTTATTATTTAAAATATAATATTATATATATTTCTAGTATTTTATTATATATTTATATATTTTTCTATAATAAATATTGTAAATAATAAAAAACTGAAAAACCAACGAACCGAACCGACGGTTACCGAACCGGTCAACCGGTTAACCGATTGGATTCGGTTGTGTTTCGGTTACCAGTTTTCCAAAATTCAGTAACCCTGGTTTGGTTTAAAAAATTAGCCCATGGTTTGGTTAATCGAACCGTGAACACCCCTATTTTTAGGAATGAGATATAGCGAGAAATAGAGGAACTAACAACAAGAAATAGTGGCAGAGAAAATTCTTTGGCTAGGGGGACTCAATGTGGCTAAGGAAGAATGATGGTGGCAGCGAACTTGAACTTGAAAGGAAAACTGGTTTTCAATCAATTGAAGGAAAATTGGGGGGGGGATTGGTCGTGGAAGCCAATTATAAAGTGGTAGCGATTTCACTCCAATCAAAAGTTGGATCGCTCTTGATATCAAACTAGAGCCCAAGTTCTAGTGAAAAAGAGTTGTTAATCTCGAATGAAGTAATAGTGAGAATTCTGGGCTAGCTGTTTCATTTGTGGAGGCAAGATTGGTTTGAGTCAATTCCTACCATTTGTGGGAGTCGTTTATCAAGGTGGTTCTTACAAGATTTATGATCTGCGGTGATCCTTTTGGTGGGGGCAGGACCTAAAGATATACCTAGAAAGTTGAAATTTTCTTTGATGGAAGATGGTTTTCGGTGTGGCTGGTGACACCCATGGAAGCTGGGTGTGGAAGGAAGGTCATAGGAAGATGAAGGTGGGGATATGAAGTGCTCCGTGGCAGGTGGTTGGTGGATTCAAATGAACCTAGACGCTTGTTGAGACAGAAGGTCAATGTTTGGGATTATCAAAAGAGGAGCATGCAATCCCATTAAATGTACTTAATTACAGGGAAGGAGAAGAGACAGAAGGTAGGGCTATGGTTCAAACATCAGAGAGAAATGGTCTCGGAGTCATAGGGAAGGACTTTTGGGCCTAGGTTGAATTTGGGACAGGGGTGGACATTAATTCTGAAATAGTCGCACTCATGCTAGACTGCAATGAGGGCAAAGAAAACAGGGGAAAAGGTAGGGCCACAATGAAGGTTACAGAGCTGTCCTCATCAAAATTAGGGTTTTGTCTGGTATAGAATGAAAGTTTTGCGAGAAGAAGATGTCTTTCTTGTAATGAAAACAGTAATGGCGTTTCTCCAGAAACAAGGGAAGCGGCAGAGGATGGTTGACTTGAGGAAGGAGGAATTGCAGTTGCAGAGGCTTGGGGTGAAAGGACTGTTCGTGAGAATCTTGACAGTGATGTCGTGGGGAAAACCTTGAATGACGGATGGGAAGAGATTACAGGGACAATAGTAGATATTCAAGTTGAAGGTAAAAGTTGTTTTCAAGGAGGAGATGAAGAGGAAGTTTTGGAGGCACAAAAATGAAGATGTGGGAGAAAGATAAATGGAGCAAACACTAGAAATTTTTGGAGGGGATGGAATTGTTAGAGATAAGAAGGGGATGATGGAAATTGAAACAATATGCCGAATGGGGATAAGTGCATTGATCTTTTTGGTGTAAGGCATACATGAAGTATATGCCTCTAGCATGCCACACGCAAAAGGCATATGAGGCGTGCACCTCTGGCATTCATCTTAGGGCATTTTGGGGGTGCCTCCCACACCTTTGAAAGCATTGGTTATGATTTTCCTCTTAGAGTACTTCTAGAAATCAATGATTCAAAGTTTGTATGTTTTGATTGGGTAGTTCCATGAATTTTGTTAGCACGAAATATAGACTGCGCTTTTCCTTGTAAAGAAAAGAACTACAATTGTTGTCCATGATGTACTTATTTATGCATTGTAATGATCCCTGTTGCATCTTGCATTTACTGGCTATAGTAATAAATCATAACTTCAGGTGCCATTTATTTGTGTGTGAGTCACTTGTTGTGTTTGTAGTGAATACATTCTTTTTCTTGTTGCTGAAATTCTTTGTCTAGAGCAGGTTGTGCCAGGAGAGCTGACCATAGTGACAGGTGTTCCCAATTCTGGCAAGAGTGAGTGGATTGATGCTCTCTTGTGCAATCTTAATGAAAGTGATGGGTGGAAGTTTGCACTTTGCTCAATGGAAAACAAGGCAAGTTACTCGAGTAATTGAATTGATTTTCTTTTTTTGGAAAAGAAAGATTATGAGCATTGATTCATAGAAATAAGGTGCATATTATAAACAGTTAGAACTAAGAAAATGATAATGCAAGATTAATTATAATTTTAAGCTGTGGAATCTGGGACTACACCATAAAAGGTAAGAAAATCTGTTGCTTTCACTGAGAATTTGATACTACTGCACTGCCATATTATCAGCCAACTAAGTTAGTTTGTTCCTTTCTCATTATCGTGACTTGCTTCTGAGAATAGACACTAGTTGTCACATCTCCTCTTTAAGAACATTGAGTCTCACCCTTAACTGAAATATTGAATCCAAAGTAGGAATGGAAGGAATTGTAGCTTCTAACCCTTCTATTATAATCTGATATGTTTTGTGATAAGTTTTGTTTGGTCTGTCCTATTTCCGTTTGGTAGATGAGTAGGCACTCAGTATGTTTTTGCCACTTGCAGTAAGTACACATATTCTTCTTATAGTGTAAAACAACATGTCTGTACTCCTTACATTCATAACACTATATGCCAGTTAAGTCATTATTCTCAAGCTTACTACTAGTAGCCAGAAAAAAACAACCTCAACACTAGAATGGTGTTTTCCATCATAGGTTGATGGAGTGACCAGTTTTGTGTTCTTCCTTAGAAGTTTACCCCAAGGTTTAAAATGTAGGTGTTGGTGGAAATGTCGGTCATCCAAATATTAGGATTCATGTCGGAAATGTTGGACATATCATATGAAAATATTGTAAAAATTATAGACTTGGTGGAAAAATTGAAATATGCAAAAATATAGAATGATAGTTATTATCAATAAGGCCTACTAACTTGACAAGATTAGATGCATACTGTTGGCAGATGTTGTTGTACACAAGTTTAGTACCGCAGGGGTACTTTTGTAATTTCTTCATACTTTTATGTTGTACGACCAGACTAGTATAAATAATAACTACTGCACATGCCTGCAGTATTCTTTTGGGCTTTCAGTCCTCTTGCCTCTCCTCTATTCTCTTCCTCTTTCCCTCTCTTCCTCCTCTCTTCTCTTGCTCAACATGGTATCAGAGCAAGTCGTCCAGGCCTGAAGGGTGGTGTCAAGCAAATCTGTTGTGTTCATCCTCCAATGTCAAGCAGTTAGTCTCTTCATCTCCCAGAAGCTGTATCCATCTGTTGTTTGACCTTAAGCTAGAAGATGCCTGCCTGACTTTTCACCTTCCAGTGCAGAAAGGAGTTCTAGCTATAGAGACTTTTCATCTTCCAGCCCAGATGCTGTATCCATTGTCTGTTCGGCTGTAGTGAGGCCATCATCTGATGTTCATAGAGAAAGCTCTGGTTTACAGAGAGGTTATCATCTGATGTTCAAGAAGGTACTGTTCATCTATTGTTCGGGTGCCCTGGTATTCAACTGAAGTTTTTTTATATTTTCTTTGCACCCTTTTTTGATGGACTGTTGATGCCCTATGATCTGACTGTGGTGTTTCCTCCTTTTTTTTGTATTACTGCTGTTCGGCTACCCTGTTGATGGACTGAAGTACAGATTCTCAGTTCTAAGGATCTTCCATCAGTTCAGGAAGTCTATGCTCTTGTACAATCTGAAGAGAGCAGAAGGAATTTGATGAACAACCCTGGTGGGGATGCAGTTGTGTTGGCAGCAAAAGGGGGTGTCTCTACTAGTGTGGGATCTTTTTCCAGGAAAGGAGATCTCCAGAAAAAAACAGAAGATAAGGACAAATTGTGGTGCACTCATTGCCAGAAACCCCGATACACCAAGGATACCTGTTGGGGTCTTCATGGGAAACCAAAATGGGCTCAAGATTTGACTAAGAAGCAAGGTTCAGATGTGAATAAAAGGTCCAGACAGCAAGGTACAAAGAAATACCACATGGCCAACATGGTTACTCGGGACAATCAGCCCCCCATTCCTACTGTGACTTAGACACATCTCTCTGGATCTGACCCGAAGGAGGATATTATGATTTCCTTCCGTGATCATTTAGAGCTCTATGGTAGAGCAATTCGTCAGATGGATGCTCCTCCCTCAACCTCATTTGCATCTACGTCAGGTAACCCTGCCACATCTTTCCATGTTGCTTCTCACAACCTTGACTCTCCATGGATCATTGATTCTGGAGCGTCAAAACACATGACTGGTACGTCCTCTTACTTTCAAACCTATCTATCACCTTCTTTCTGGAAGAGACAAGGTGAGACTAGCTGATGGATTATACACTTCCATAGCTGGTCAAGGAACCCTCTCTCTTCCTCTTGGTCTTACCCTTTTTGATGTTCTTCATGTTCCAAAWTTTCCCATTAATTTGTTCTCTGTTAGTAGTGTTACTAACTCCTTAAACTACTCCGTGACTTTTTTCCCTTCTCATTGTGTGATTCAGGATCTGGCCTCGGGGAGGACGATTGGTAGGGGACGTATGATTGATGGACTTTACATGCTAGAGAATAAGGCTGGTCTTCATGTTACAGAGTCTATGAATCAGTCCTGTAAGAGTAAAGTTTATTTATGGCATTGTCATCTTGGTCATTTGTCTTTTGAGTCTTTGAAAGTTGTATTTCCAGAACTGTGTAAGTCAATGTCTGTTTCCGATTTCTCTTGTCAAATGTGTCAGTTAAGTAAACATTGTAGAACTTATTTTCTTCAGAAAATCAGTAAATCTGAATTTCCTCTTCACATTGTTCATTCTGATGTGTGGGGCCCTGTTACTATACCATCTGAGAGTGGGTACAAGTATTTCATTACCCTCATTGATGATTATTCGAGATATACTTGGGTATATCCGATGCAAACCAGGGAGGAAGTACCAAAAATTATCCAAGATTTTCAACGGATGGTCTTCACTCAATTTCAGACTGAAATCCAAATTTTTCAGTTAGACAATGCAAAAGAGTTTTTTCATAGTGATCTCACGGAGTTCTTTGCTTCGCGTGGTTCACTTCACCGTAGCTCATGTGCCCGCACACCACAACAAAATGGTGTGGCTGAACGGAAGAACCGACGTCTCCTTGAAGTGGCTCGGGGTTTACTACTTCATATAAATGTTCGCAAACATTTTTGACTTGAGGCTGTTCTTTGTTCTACCTACCTCATTAACCGTATGCCCTCTCGTTGGTTAGAGTACAAAGCCCCACATCAACTTCTCTTTCCTAAGGCCCCCCTTCTTTTTATTCCTCCTCGTGTATTTGGTTGTCGGTGCTTTGTCCCACCCGTGGGAAATTGGATTCTCGTGCTATCCCTTGCATATTTCTTGGTTACTCCTTCACTCAAAAGTGGTACCGTTGTTTTGATCCTGTTTCTCGGAAATTCTATGTCTCCATGGATGTTTCTTTCCTTGAAGATGAGCCTTTTTTTTCCTGTTTCTCCTCAGGGGGAGTGTAGGCATGAGGAGAAACTAGTTCAGCTCCCTTCTCTTCCTGATCCTCCGCCTTTTTGTGTCTTTTCTCGTCGTTGCAAAGGCCAACCAAATTCAAGAGCTGTGGAGAATCCAGAAGCTGTACCTCCAGTGCCACCAAACTCCTCGGGGGAGGATCATACCCACTCAGGTAACTTGGCTCCCAATGATGTTCCTAATTCTATTGAAACTAATTCCTCTGCTGCTAATGACCTTGACCTTCCTATTGCTCACAGGAAAGGTGTTAGATTGTGCACTACTAAACATTCCATTTCCAACTTTGTTTCCTATGAGAACATTTCACCCTCATTTCGTGCTTTCCTTACCTCTATTGACAGTGTCCCTATCCCCAAGAATGTGGCAGAAGCTCTTAAAGTACCTGAATGGACAAATGCCATGAATGAAGAAATTAATGCCCTTCATAAAAATGGCACGTGGAAACTAGTTGATCTTCCTAAGGGAAATGATCCAGTTGGATGTAAATGAGTGTTCACTGTCAAGCATGGGGCTGATGGAACGGTGGAGAGGTATAAAGCTCGCTTAGTGGCAAAGGGGTTTACTCAAGKGTAYGGAGTTGATTWTGCAGAAACTTTTGCCCCTGTTGCCAAGATGAACTCCATTAGAGTTCTTTTCTCTCTTGCTGCTAATCTGGATTGGGATCTACATYAGCTTGACATCAAGAATGCATTCTTGAATGGTGACCTTGAAGAGGAAGTTTATATGATTCAACCCCTGGTTTTCTGGCTCAAGGCAATGAACAGAAAGTGTGCAAGTTGAAGAAGTCTTTATACGGACTGAAACAATCACCAAGAGCTTGGTTCAACAGATTCCATGCTACGGTTCAACAGAAAGGATACAAGCAATGTCAATCAGATCACACACAGTTTGTGAAAAGAGGAGAAGGTAAAATGGCTGCCTTAATAGTATATGTGGACGGCATAATTGTTACTGGTGACTGGAAGGATGAAATTCAGAGGTTGAAGGGTTTCCTTGCCACTCAGTTTGAAGTGAAGGATTTAGGACCTGCCAGATACTTCCTTGGAATTGAAGTTGCCCGATCAAAAAGGGGTATATTCATTTCTCAAAGGAAATATGTCCTAGATTTACTTCAGGACACTGGAAAGATGGGGGTGAAGCCAGTTGACTCTCCCATTGACCCCAACCATAAATTAGGTGACAACCAAGGTGAAACTCTCAAGGATGTGAAACAATTTCAGAGGCTTGTAGGGAGATTGTTATATCTTTCTATGACTCGTCCAGACATTG